TTTCAGGAAAACAGAAAAATAAGAATTATAATTAAGAGAACTTTTCTGATAAAAAGATACTTCCTTAAAAAGAAGTCTGACTTTTAAAAAAATATATAAATGATCAATGTCAATGTTTTATAAAGTCCATTCATAAATTCCAGGCATGATGGTGCACAACTTTTAGTCCAGCAGATTGAGGCAGAAAGACCTGAGTTAAGGGTAGCCAGGGTGTTACAAAGTGAGTCTACCAATGAACAAATAAATAGGTAAAGTACTAAATAAGGTTAAGTTTCAACACTATAGCCTCAAACTTGTGATCCTCCTGCCTTTTTAACCTTCCAAACGCTGGAATTTAGGAGTGTCCTATCATACCTGGCTATTACATTTTACTTTCATACACTGTGTACACCAATTCCTAATATCTACATTTTTATAAAGAGACTTCTTCCTTTTATTCTTCCTTCCTTAAGTTTTTTAGTATTTGGAGTGAGGATGGAATGTTTGCTTAGCACATGAAATGCCTTGGACCTGATCCCCAAGGATCACAGAACAAACAAAAAGCTTTAAAATGTAAACTTTTTAAATTGAACTTGTTTTTATGTTTACAGGTATTTTACTTGCATGTATACTGTACACCACCTGCATGCCTGGTGCTATAGAGGCAAGATAGCATCAGATCCCTTCCAACTGGGATTAAAACCACCTTTAAGTTGCCATGTCAATGCTCCAAATTGAACCTTTAATTTTAACCTACAATAGCTCTTCCCTTAAACATATTTCTTCTAAGAATAAAATCTCTGTACTAGACTAATTCTATATTCTATTCTGAGTCATTAGCTGCAAACACTTATCCCATCAAAAAACTATTGCTCATATAAGTTATAAAGAATAACTTTGGGGGGACGGGAGAGACAACTCAGCCATTGACTACTCTTTCCAGAGGTCCTAGATTCAATTCCTAGCACCCACATGGCAGTTCCGTCTTTTAAAATTGTGGCCTCTTCTGGTGTGCAGATACAGAAGCAGACAAAAGTCCTATTTATTTATACAATAAATGAATAAATAAATCTTAAAACAGAAAAGAAACCTCAAATAAAATCAGGGCCAACAAGACAGCTCAATGGTCCAAGGCTTCTGCCACCAGAAGCCCAAGTTTGACCCCAAGACCTGTGCGACTCTCACTACTTGATCTCTGCTATGACTGCCCCCACCCGGTAAATCAAATGTTAATACAGGAACAAATCCCTCTATTAAATGCCATACATGAACTTCCAAAACAGACTATTAATATCAAACCTTATCAGACACTAAAGCTACAAAACTTTTAAATTATATACTTTCATCTATAGTTATTCAGTTTTGGTTCTGTCATGTCAAAACTGCCTAACAGGACCAAGAAGATGGTTCAGTAGATAAAATGCTTGCCATTCAACCCTTGGTAACTAATTCCAGTGCCTGGAATCCATGTGAAGGTAAAAAGAGAAAAATGACTCCACAAAATTGTTCTCTGATTTCCATACTCCTATCGTGGCCTGTGTACCTGCCCCTCTTATCAACTGCCTCACAGGACCAGGAATACTGTCCAGTGCTTGCTAACAAGCTTGAGGTCCTAGAAAGACCACCAGAAATTCAAGGTCTTCCTCAGTTACAGGGTCATCTTAGCTACACACATGCCCATCTCAAGCTAAACAAAACAAACTGCCTTTTAAGAATATATAGCTAACTGCTGGGGAAAAAATACGCATCTGATAGCAAGATAAGACACTGATTAAGTTTCTATGATGGCATTCTGGACAGTTTCACTAATTTCCCTCACTTCTAAAAATGTTCATTATAAACCTGTTTTTGCCACTTATAACACAAAAGATAATATCTATCTCATAGGACTGTTTCAAAGCTTGATGAACTCACTACCTATTAGTAGTAACGAAGCTTGCTTTGGAGCCAGCGGGGAGGCATATGCCTGTAATCCCAGCACTCAAGGAGGCAAAGCAAATGGATCTCTGAGTTGGAGGCCAGTTTGGTCTACAAAGTAAGTCTAGGAAAGCCAAGACTACACAGAGAAACCCTGTCTCGAAAAACAAACACCAAGGAAAGAAAGAAAGAAATTTGCTTTGTGTTTGGCATGCCTAATCCCAGAACTCAGAGGCTGATGGATCTGAGTTCAAGGCCAGCCTGGTCTACAGAGTTGAGTTCCAGGACAGCCAAGACTACACCTGAGATTAAAGAGAATGACACACAAACCAGAATTCAGAGCATTTGGATTATGGCCACAGTGCCTCTCAACTCAGCAAAAAAGAAGCAGGTTGTACATTATATACAATGTTCCCTGAACTGAAAGCAACCTTCCTTGGGATCACAATAAAATTCTATTTTAAACTATGACGAATGGGTCTAAAAATACAGAGTATGCTGAGTGGGACAACCCAGAACTCAGGAGGCTGAGGCAGTAGGATCCAAGTCCAAGGCCAGACTGGGCTACAAAGAAAGACCCTGTCTCAAACAGGGCTGGTGATCAGAGTTCATTCAATTCCCAGGATCATAACAAAAGGAGACCTGACTCTTCAAAGTTGTCCTCTGATCTCCAATTGAATACCGTGGTCACACAAAATAAAGAAATAAAAATGCAATAAAAACATTTTAAGGGCTAGAGAGATAGCTCAAAGGTTAAGAGCACTGACTGCTCTTCCAAAGGTCCTGAGTTCAATTCCCAGCAACCACATGGCGGCTCACAACCATCTATATTGAGATCAGGTGCCCTCTTCTGGCGTGAAGGCATACATGCAGGCAGAACAATGTATCTATAATTAATAAATCTTTAAAAAAAAATTTTTTAAAGCAACAAAAAAAACTTTATGGGTAGCATCACCATGTTGTAGAAATATGAACACCTAGTTACTGATGTGTTGATAAAGAAACCCTAGAATGATCTTTATTAAAAAGGATATGGGGGAGGGTGGAAGCAGGTACTACTCTTGTAGCACTGATCTCAGTTTGGTTCCTAGCACCCACATTGAACAGCTCACAACCACCTGTACCTCTAGCTGCAGGAGATCCAATGCCTCTAGCCTCTGTGAGCACCTAAACACAAACTACACAAATTGAAAATAAAGCTTTTTGGGACAAGGTCTTATTATGTATCCCAGCTGACCTCAAACTCAAGAGATCAACCATCTCCACAGTGCTGGAGTCAAAGCATATGCCACCATGCCTAGTCTACATATACACAGAACTAGCTTCAGTGCTGGGCCTCCCTTAACCCACCTTTCAACAGATAGGTAACCCATTTTCTCCCAGCATTATTAGATAGAATCTAATTCCCCCACGTGTGATTAATGAAAGTGTTTAGATCTATAAAATTCCTGCCTAGTTTTAAACCATTTTATAGTCCTTTGTCCTTAAATTGTATCAAATAAATAGTTGATTAGAACATGACTGTTCCCTCATCATTTGAAGGCTCTGAATCACCTCTTCCTTTAAATTAAACCATGTCCGCATAGATAAACTCACGCGCCCCTCGGTAGTTTGTATGTGTACAAATACATTTTAAAGAACTCTATTTCCCTTCAGTTTTTAATACTGATATGCTTTTGTATACTCTGAAGAGCTTTATTACCTTGTTATTTCAGGTGGCTATGCTCAACTTTACCCTTGAATCCATAAAATTATTAGAAAGCTGGGTACATGACCACATTACCTTGGTCCCTTGCAGAACAGCTTTTACTGAATTGTGCTTCAGCATTAGGCTGTTGGTTTCCATAGGGAGATCAATTTAACCACTTGTCATCTCTCATCACATGGGGGAAACCAGCCCTATGGTGAAAAAAGCTAACTCAATGTTGTCTCAGTGGTAGTGACGAATGGGTTAGATCACTTAAATTCAGTTCCAATAAGGATGCATCATTGACAACATTGAGTAAGATTAACTCAGGCAACTGAAGAAAACAACCTTTTAATGAAAAAGCAAAACAAACAAACAAACAAAAAATCCAAAAAAACTAAGGAAAGAAAATTCTCTTACTTTAAATTCTTTTACTTTACCTGCTAATGCTTCTGCTGTATCCTGAAATTTTTCAAAATGCTTTAACTTGACTCTAGAATTGAAAGAGAACAAATATGTTAATGAAACAGTGATTCTGCAAAAGCTATATAGCCAGAAAATAGAGGGTGGATGTCTCTATAACAAACACTACTAGCAAAACAAATTGCCAGGCTGGGCACAGTGGTGCACACGTATAATCCCAGCTCTATGGGAGGCAGAGGCAGGTGGATCTACAAAGCAAGTCCATGACAGCCAGGACTACAGAGATAAACCCTGTCTTGAGAGAGAGAGAGAGAAAAAAACTTGCTAGATAGTGGCACTAGATGTAGTAGCTACTGAGGCCAACCAAAGAGGACCACAAGTTCAAAGCCAGTGCAGATACTTAGACCTTGTTTCAACGTACTTAAAGAGGGGTGGGGGGCTTCTAGTGGGCATGGTGGCAAATAACTATAATTCCAGCACTCAGGAAGGCAGAGATAAGGGGATCACTGTGAGTTCAAGGCCAGCCTGGTCTACAAATCAAGTCCAGGACAGCCAAGGCTACACAGAGAAATCCTGTCTCAAATAAACCAAGTAACAAATGAAGGAATAAATAAAAGAGCAAAGGTGTGTACACCTTTAATCCCAGCACTTCGGAACCAGAGGCAGGAGATCTCTGTGAGCTGGAGGCCAGCCTAGGCCATCAATCCCTGGCGCCCACATGGCAACTCACAATTATCTCTAACTCCAGTTGCAGGGGATCTGAGATACCAACACCCATAAAAACAAACAAACAAAAAGGCTGGCAATTGAGTTCAATGGTAGAACATTTCCTAGCACATCTAAGGACCAGGGTTTTACCCGCAGCACCACAAACCAACTCCATAACCATATGCCAAGTCAAGTGCAATTGAAAAAAAGCTTATTGTCAGACTTGCTTTATGCTATCGCCTAGTTTACATGAATTATATGCTTTCTGTACAAAGAAATGTATTAATTCACTGTTGTCTCAGTGGTAGTGACGAACTTTTGTTAAATCATTTAGATTCAGTCCCAAAAGAATACATCATTGACAACAATGAATAAAGATTAACCCAGCAAAGCATAGTTATATGCCATATGTATGCTATTTCCTTTAAAATTGAAAAAAAAAAAATAGCTGGGCAGGAGGGCTGACACCTGTAATCCCAGCACTCAGGGAGGCAGAGGCAGTGGATCTCTGTGAGTTCAAAGTCAATCTGCTCTACAAGTGAGTCAGGACAGCCAGGGCTACACAGAGAAACCCTGTCTCAAAAAAACAAAGACAGCCACACAAAACAAACAAATCCAACAAAACAATACACACAAAATAGAAAAATTAAGTCTTTCATATTCCTAAAACAGTATTAGCTAAAACAATGTTTTCTTACCTGGGAAGGTAAATCCTGACAGTCCACCAAATGCATACTTAACCACACAGATGCTAAGAAAGAAGTACGGATTTTATTTTTGTCCTGCCCTATACCGATCTCTGCTTGAATCAAGTGCCATCTTCGTCTCTCAGAGCTTGCACGCTTTTCCTCAGTGTGCCATCAATACCTCTCCAAATCACCAAGAGGCCGTACGTAACACTCATTCACTCAACAATGCTGTCGGTGACGGAGCACCACAGGGACATGACTCTCTCACCTCGCCCTCTCTCTAGGCTGACTCTTTACTCTTGTGTACTTATTAGCAGTAGCAGATGAATGAACAGATATGGACATCCACAGATACTACCCCTCCAAATCCACAAGTAAACCAACAGGATCCCAGAGCTTCTTTCTCCGGACTACACTGACCCAATGGGCTACTTCACAAGGTGATTCACAAATGGTGAAATAGCAACCCTGACTCTACCTTGAGGAAAAGCCTACTACCTCTCCCCACAGCCAATGTAGTTAACATTGTTGTATTTTATTTTCTTGTCAAAACAACTTGAGGAAACATGATGTACTTTCCAAGCACTAGGTAGGAATAAAAGTCATAAAGATGATAACACTATAAAGTAAATTAGAAAGCCTTCGAATTATCAACCCACAAAAACTAAGCCCCCATGCTTTATACAATTTCTGCCTTTAAAAGAAGTTTATACTTAACTGATGATATCTTCAAATATCCCATAAAACAGTAACCTCGGGGTATTGTCCACTGTAGTCTACAATACAAACTACCTGTGATGGTCTATGTTCCAAATAAAACAGCCTTAATTGCCAGGCAGTGGCAGTGCACACCTTTAATACAGCACTCAGGAGGTAGAGGCAGTCCTCCAAATCGAGGCCAACCTGGTCTACAGTGCTAGTTCTAGGACAGCAAAAGCTACACCCTGTCTTAACCAACCCCCAACAAAATTCAACCTTAATTAAATTCATACTAACATTATTCATAAAATATTTCCAAACTCCAAAGCTGAAAATGACATACAAACAGGGAGGCATCCACTAACTAATGCAAACACCTAAATCCTCAGTTTTAAGGTTACTTACATTTTATTTGCCTTCTCTGGAGTTTCAAATTCTTTCCACAAACTATCAACCTCTTGAAGTTTCTTCTCATTCAGAACCTGCAATACACCAGTTTTCTTCAAATGGCAGCTTAGACATAAACAACTACGTCCTTTCAAGTTACAGCTATGCATGCAAAAATATAGGCAGAGGTTTCTTTTATTGAAATGAACTAGTTTTCTTTTGTAGCACAAGTTATGGTCAGATTAGTAGTTCAAGCTAAACCTAGTTACAGCCTTTAAGAACCATTTCTGTATCACTAATCTAGGCTTATGTGATTATATAATCTTTTCTGTCCTTACTGGTTTTAAAATTCATTCTATTTTTCCTTATATTCTTAAATATACTTTTGTATATTTGATACACATTAAAGATATTTCTGTAAGTGGAGTTGACTTACTATAAAATCTTAAGCGCTATTATACTGCTTGCCAATTTAAAAACACTTCTGTATACTATAGTTTGAAAGTGCTGAAATATGTAGATAAAATGAATTACCTAGATTTGCTCTGAAAAAATATCAGTAAGGAAGCAAGCCATAAGTAACACAAAATTGAGTCTGTTAAAGCCAACCAAATCACTAAAGGCCAGCCTGGTCTACTTAAGAGTTCCAGGGCTTGTTAACCCCCCCCCCACACACACACAAACAAGCTAATCACTGTGCACACAATTGTTTGCATATCTCCCTACTTAAAATTTCTTACAATAAATGGTAAAAGAGGGCTGAGATGGCTCAGATCATGTAAAGTGCTTCCGGAAAGCTAATCTAACAGGTTCAATACGCAGAACCCATCGTAAGCTAGGAGAGAAATACACCACAAAGTAGTCCTCTGCCCTCCACACATGTACCACCAGCACTGTAACATGCGCGCGCGCACACACACACACACACACACACACACACACACACACACTGAGATTCCTCCCACCCGCCACTCTGACTCACTGTGTAGAGGTGGCTGGCCTCAAGCACATAGATCAGCCTGCCTTTTGCCTCTGTGGTGCTATAATTAAAGGTTTGTTCAAGGTTTAAGCCATATACAGAGATGTGGATATACACTGTCTCCAAATGCATTCCTCATTAGGTTTACTATTATAAAGCATTTTCACCAAACACAATCATTTTAGGACTAGTTATACTGAGTACATTACAAGAAGGTAGCAGTCTAAGCAGTAATTAGCATACTGCCTGACCCAAGAATGAACTAAGATTTTATAGCCAATGTAACCGAAGGGAGTCAGGTGTTGGAAATTGAACATAGGGCCACAGGTGCCGGGCAAGTGTTCTTCTATGAGCTATACCTCTAGCCCTCTTTTTACCTTTTATTTATGACAGGGCCTCACTAAGTCACCTATATAGGTCTTGAACTTTTGATCCTCCTGTCTTAGCTTCTAGAAATTATAATTCCTTAGCATAGGGATTAGAAGCCTGTGCCAACAGGGCTTTCTCCCAAAATATAACTCATATTCTAACATTTTGAAAAATCATGGAAAAAGGCAGCAACCAGGATCATTTATCTACTTTCTGGAGGGGCTTACATATAATACTCACCTTCACACAGTATACAATTAGTTCCCTGCTATACAATCACTAGCACTAGTTCTAGAAAAATTATGCCTACTTCATAGCAAGGGATCAGTAATACCAATAATTACAAACAAGCACTTCAATATATCCAAGCCTCATTTGAATGTCTAGGTTACACAAACCATAATAATTCAGCATTAGTAAACTGAAAACTTAAAAATACTCAAAGCTTCCTAATAGCGCAATAACACTCAACATTTCTATCACAACAATGTTGAATACTGTGATATGAGCCAGACCCAATAAACAAACAGGAAAATGGCCAACACGAATGAATCCCTTCAAACCACCAGCACCTACAGCAGCCTCTTCATCCCAGAAACATAAATGTGCACCTCAAGCTTAACAGAAAACTGAATTTGAACTGTATGCTTTGTATAGCACTTTTTGCCCTATATCAACACATAAATTTATTAAGTGAAAATTTTCTATTAGCAGAGTTTAGAAGAGCTTATAAAGCACAGAAAGAGCACTCACTCTTCCTCAGGGCTCCCCACATCTCAGTAGCATCCCATTGTAGGAAGATGCCATGGTTCCACCATTTCCATGCTGATAACCTTGTAAGCCAATTCTTTTTTTTTAATTTTAATTTAATTTTATCTTTGTTAAGTATAGTTTATTCACTTTGTATTCCAGGTGTAGCCGTATCCCCTCCCAATCCTACCCTCCCTCCCTCTTCTCCTATGCCCCTCTAAGCCAGTTCTTAAACTTTCCTTATTTAGGGGCTGGAGAGATGGCTTGGTGGTTAAAAAAAACTGACTGCTGTTTTAGAGACCAGGTTCAAAAATCCCAGAACCCACAAGATAGCTTACAACTGTCTATATAACTCCAAGATCCGACACCTCAAACAGACATACATGCAAGCAAAGCACCAATGCATATAAAGTAAAAGTAACTTAAAATTCCCTACTTAAACAAAAGACACACAAACTGATAGCAGCCGTCCAGATTTCTCCCAAACTTCAAGTTTGATATTATGAATCCCTTGATTTACAGACATCACCGATGCTTATGAGCAGGCCTCCTACAGTCAAACTGGAAATCCTGAGCACAATGCCAACAACTTTCCTGTGTCTTAAACAAAAAACTCCCTTCAATCCTGTTGCCTAAATTTTATTTCAAGCCATCTCATTGATTTTAAAAAAAGACATGGTACTTCTAAGGATATGAATGAAGGAGACCACAGCCATAGGCATCTGGAAGAGTCCAGGCTGAACCGGGGCATGAGGAGGAAGAAAAAGAAAAGGACCAGGAGACCAAGAGTACCAAGAGACCGGAGTAGACAAAATGGGTGGGTAATGAAGGAATCAGTGAAGCCAGAAGGACCCTGGAGCAGGGGGACTGTCAGCCAGAGTCAGCTTTGCTATGTCAATAAACACCTAAGCCATTTGTCCTGAGTTTGAGACCTAACGTTCACGTTGTCTAAATTAAAACACAAGTATACCTTTTTCACCCAGTTTCCCTAACAGTAAAAAAAAAGTCTCTTAATGAGACAGTTACACTAGTCAATACTAAAAAAGCTTACAATCATGCCTGAAAGAACCCTGACCTTAGGCCCGGGCTTTCATTTAATTAAACCCAAATAGAGTGTTCCGGGACAGCTAAGCCTACATAGCGAGACCCTGCCTCAAAAAGAAAGGCAGGTGGCGGTGGTGAGCGCCTTTAGCCCCAGCACTCGGGAGACGGAGGCAGGCGGATCTCTGAAGAGTGCGAGGCCAGCCTGGTCTACAAAGTCAGGACGGCCAGGGCTACACAGAGAAACCTTGCCTCGAAAAATGAATGAATGAATGAATGAAGAAAGATAGGTAACTAGTCTTGGGTTGGGGTTGTAGCTCTGAGAGGGCGCCAACCTAACATATACAAGGCTTTAGGTTCTATATCCCCAGCACCGTATTTGTTAAATGATTTCTTATCTCTCGTAAAAAAAGAGTGCTGTCCATTTTTTTAAACTGAGCAAATCCTCTCGAGCAAAG